ATGCTGTCCATCTTAGCATAGGCTAAAATGGCCATTAAAATAGTGCAGGTGATGACATTGGTCTAGCAACCTTTTCTTTTTCATCATCATCATCTCACATTAACATAGAGAGAAAGACACAAGGAAGAATTCCAATTATTAGCTTTGAGAACTGAAATAAAAAATCTTCTTTCCACAATTAGCCTTCGTATATTGGCATTAGAAATACCACTTTAAGTTCTGAAAGAACTGGAAGGAATTTATACCCAAAGGATCGTAATTCTTCGGTAATTCAAAGCTGCCATTTGTACCTGTGAACACTATCACTTGGAGAAAATGCAATACTTAGGAAGAGTTTTAATTGTTTTTTTAATTACTTGACTGTGTGTAATTTTTTCTGAAGTTTTTACAGCTTCTTACATTCAAATGAAGGAAGATTAAGGTTGGATGGTTAAGGTTGTAACGCAGCATTTTAAAGAAAAATTAGTGAAGATGTACTAAAAACTGTGTTGCTTAGAAACCTAATATTTCAGTAATCCTTTCTCAGAACTTTACAAAGATCCTTTTATTGTGTCTTTGATAAATAAAATGGGATTTCTATTTAGCAAGATTTAAGGTAGTGAAGACTAACTAGAGAAGAACATGCAATCTTATAGTTACTGAGGCAAAAAATAAAGCAAAATGGTTAATTGCTGGTTCCAACTGGTATTGTTAAGTCTGAATGGCTAAGCATCTCTATCTTAAATTTGTGATCTTTCTGCAACTTTGTATTTATGGGGTTTATGCCTGTTCAGAGTAATTAGTGTTGTTTACATTAGAACAAATACTGAAATACAAAAAAAAAGAAAATTTATTGACAAATGGGATACAGAGTAGCAAATTTGGAAATGAGACGCTGCTGATATTTATCTGTAATGAAATTTGGCATAGGACCAGTAATAGCCAGAAGTAGGTACAATATCCTGTGATACAGGATCTGAAATTCATCAAAACCCCCCCAAAAAATTGACTTCAGTATTGTTGTAAAAGTTTCCAATCTTTTGATTATTTGTACTTTATTAGAGGCATCTTGTCAGTACTACTTTTTCCTAGCCTTATCCAGAGATGCTTTCCTATGTCTGACTCCTGAAAGTCTCTGTGCAGAACCAGAGCTCTGAAGAGCTTTTTCCCCTTTATCCCTTCCTTTTTCTGTCTTCCCAAAAGCTTTTGGGATTTTGGCTTTTACACCATAATTTACTTAATTGCCTTTCATGTCAGATAATTCTTATGCATATAACATATCATTTAAAACCACCTACTTGGTATTGCTAAAACATCAATGAATTTATAAAATTATTCTATGTTCTCTGTTGTCATATCAGATTTTTTGCTTTGTCCTTATAGAATCTTCTCTGATAAATAGAGGTGGTAGTGCTTTTATTTACTGCCTTAATTTCCTGCAGTAAAAAACCACTATATGTTCATTAATCATTCAATGACAAAGGATATTCAGTATTGGAGCCAAAATTGTATACATTTCTAAGCAACTACAGCATTTTGCTTTATTTTCTTAAATCAGTTTCAGAGCTTTGATCAAATTGCACTCTCCAATTGTTTTCCAAAGGGTGTAATAAGAGAAAAAAAACCCCATTTTTGTAACAAAATTTCAAACTAATAAAATCCTTAAAGTAAATTTGCTTCTGTAAATGAGGACTAGGAAGAGGAAGGTCATAAGAAGTTTTTTATCTGAGTTTAACCATCCCCTTAGCACACTGATCTAAAACAGGAAAAGTGTCTGAAAAACTGCAGAGGTATCTTCTGAGAAGGTATATGCACATTTCACATACTTCTTGTTCTGTATCTTTCTTCTAAACAGTGATTAAAGCAGTTCCCAGTACAGACCTGTAGAAAATTGATGAGAAAATCTGATAAAACATGTCTTTGAAGTAAACTGTGAGCCTAACCTGACAACTAAGATAACTAGTTTGTCAGTTGACCTAACCACACCATTCTTTTTTCCTGTATCTGGTTTATTTTCTTCAGAATTAACTCTACTTTCTCCCCCATCGTGCTTTACAAACAATTTCCATATCTGCTTTTTGTGCCCTATGAAGCCAAAAGGAGTAGTGATGGACAGGAACACTGAAACTCCAATGTCTGGTCAGCTAAATCTGTATGATGCTCTTTAGGAGCAGCAGAACTATTTTCTAACTGCGAAAACTGTTACAGTACCACTTATTTAAACCTGATTTCCTGTTCACTTGTGAATTGATTATTTGACCTTAAATTGTTATGATTTTTTTGAACATAAAGCCAGTTCTGATTTGCTGAGTTGATGCAGTAGAAAATACTTATATTTACATTGTTCAGCTGTTCACAGATAAAGTTGCATGATTTAATAGCCAATGGACATGCTGAGTTCTGCCTGGCTTGTTAATTTTTTTTTTAAATAAAGATGCACCCTTGGTTTATCCACCTTTGTAATTTATACATCCAGCTGTGAAGCTCTCCAGCTTTGCAGTGTTATTTACCAGGACAATTGAATACCATAACTTGCCAAATTTTGTATACATGTCCAATCAATATGCAGATTTTATAACCATAATTTCACACACAGATAATTTGTTTACTGGGCTGCATGCTAAGCTGAGGAAAGCAACACAGCAAATAGTTTTTGCTCTTTGATAGTTTCTGCCATGTCAAGCTCTCATGCTGTCCTTTTGTAATGAGTGTACCTCTCATGGGAGGGAATCTGACAGACAGAAAGAGTCACACAGACAAACATACAAAACAATCCACTGTTTAGCATAGAGGGAACTAACAACAATAACAGAAGTTTAATATTTTGCTTTCTTTGTCTGTCACCTAAGGTTGTGAAAGGTATTCTAGTTCATTGAGTTTATATTCTGCCACTGATCTTTAGCTGAGGGACACAAAGATATATGTGTTATGTGTGTTTGCATATTTATGTGTTTATATATGCATCTAGATACAGACATATAAAAACACATCAATACACACGTGGGAGTGTGGGGGTGTATGTATATGTATGTGTTTATATAGATATGCCTGAGGTCATAGGTGTATGGGATTCAGTTTGTGTTCTGTTAAACCCAGTCCCCTGTGTGTGTGTTTGCACCTCATCCACAGGAGCTGGTTACAGTCCTGGCTATTGAACTGTTGTTGTTCAAGCTGTAATTTAGTTGGTAATGATATACAATGTTTCACAGTGACAAGGGGTCAATAATGAATATGTTATGCTTTAACATCATAAAGACATCCTTAAGAAAAAGTCCCTATCTTTCTCCAACAATGATCCATATGGTGTGCTACTAAAAGGAAAAGATCTCTGAGTGACAAATGTGAAATAATACAGACATAAGTCTTTATTGCTCTTTTCCTATCAAGATACCCTGTGTTATCTGGCCTATGAAAAGAGTACGCAAGACTACTCACTCATACAGCATTGTTTTATTGTTTGCTTTTATTTTCTCTAAAGCAGACCTGGGTTTTTTTTTTTTCCTTTGCATGTGTCTTAAGAAGTTGACCTTTAGCTTTATTAATGCAATTAATAGTTTTTGCTTCCTATCTCCTATAAATTATGTTGGTGAAATAGGTCACCTGATTTCATGTTCAGAGAAAGTTCTGGATATGTAAATTATCATATTTAATTAGCATTATTTCTATCCTCTTCATTACACATTTTGCAATACTATTGATTGTTTGACTTAAAGTATCTTTTGTCCCAAAGCCACACACCTAGAAGTCACCTAAATCTTCATTTTTTCTGAAGATAATTCAGCTTGAAATATTTTTTTAAATCTAGATTAAGAGTAAATAACTTAAATGGAAGTTTTGACAGGACCACGCTTATAAGGTTTTGAAGTATTACAAGACTACTAAAAATTGCTACTCTGTCATCTGACTTTTTAGTCTTTATCTAAGACATAAACCACATGTTTGTTTGATGTTTTGTTTGATTTTTTGTCATAAAAGGAATAGGTGCTTTATCAATAGACTTTGTTTTAATCAATACTGCGTTGATTATTCCCTACATTAATCCAATTTTTACTTCTACTGTCTAGAGTGGGAAAGTATGAAAAAGAGTTCCCCACATCAAATCCATCTGCATCATCTCAGAGGCTACCTTCAGTAGCTTGAACATGACTAAACCCCTCCCACTGTTACCCTGGAAAGAGTCTTGATGACTTAAAACTTTAAAAAAAACTTGTCATTTTCACTCAATTTAAATGTGTCACTTTTAATAGCAAAACAAGTAGAGAAATTCCAATGTGAACTCATTTTAGAGTAATGACCAAGTATTATGAATATTTGACTGTATTTCATCTTTCAACTCCTTTTCTTACGGCATCCTTAATCCTACTCCTGAAGGGACTTGGATTTAAGTACAGTAGAATTTTCAGTGTTGAGTGAATCTCTGGTTTCGTATCTGAAGATCTCCTTAGTTCAAAAATCCACTTTGTAATTAATTTTATTTATGCTGTGCAACTCTGCTTTCCCAGATATTAAAAAGCACATTGGCAAAGAATACAACATTATTTCTTGAATAAAATGACAGCAAGTGATGCAACAAGATTTTCTGCCTTGAGAGTCATCTGACTTCCCCATTCAGTGACTTTATATTCCTATTCAGGGATTATTATCCCTAAGAGATCTAGAGTATAGCCAAGAGAATAGTAATAGAGAAGTTCTAACTGTAATGCTGATTTTCTACTGTTTGTTACTATTTCCTCACCCATAAAAGAAACTTGTAATTAATTTTCTGTTCCCTAGGACCACTTGTAGAAGTAAACATTGCTACTAGTGATGAGATTTAAACATGAAGAAAAAAACAGGGTAAGTATCAAGTTGTTAAACTTGCTGTCACAAGACTATTGTTGAAGATTGTTACAGGGATGATGGGAGTCTGGGATAAGCTTAGATATGAAAACTTTGTTCAATTTCATCAAGTAGACTTAAAAGAAGATCCAAATTGGGGTTTTTTTTTTTTTTGTTTTTAAAGTATTTTTGTTTTCTTGGGTTTTTTTTTTTTTTAAACTGAATATTTTTGGAAAAAATATGAAGAAGTTATCTCTGACATTTCTATTGTCAGGTTGCCAAGACATGTTTGGGGAATCATAATGATTCAACATCTCGTTTGAAAGCAGCAGAAACAGAGACAAGCTTTCAGGTATTCTCTTCCAGAGTAATTTTTGGGGTTTTACTAAAAGGTCTCGTGAAATTAAGTTACTTAAAGTATACTTACACATTCTTCACCAAATTCTGTCTCAAAAGAGAAGACTACTTAATTCAGACTTTGACTGTGTCTGATCACAATTGATCTGTTCAAAATGTTTTCTGGCTGGTAACAATTTGCAAACTATTAAATATTTGGAGAGCTGGTAGTCAAAGGAATTAGTAGTCAAATTACTTAATTTGACAGTGTGATGTGTATAGCCCTGGAAGCAGGAGTAATGAAAAATTTCCAAAATAATTAAATATTAAATACATATATGGTTGTTTATATATATATATGTATAAAATATGCAGTGATATGAAACTGTATGTAGCATCAGACTTGTATGGTTTTGCACTGTGAAGGTTGTTAATTATGCTTTCTTTAATAGAGATCAGGACCCTTTTCTAGGGACAATTCCATTGCCATGGAATTTTAACATACTTTTTAAATTTCTGTTTATGTATATATGTATACAGAAGTTTCACAGCCCTCCATGGACTAAACCTGAAGATGAAAAATCACCTGAAAAAAAAGAGAAAAAATACGAAGAATCAGTTAGTACTCCAGAATAAAACCTCTAAATGCTACTAACCTACATTGAAAAATGCCAATCACTTCCATTTTCATGTTCTGCTAGCACAAAGGCATGAAATGTCCCCTGTTTCTAAAGCATGGATTTTTCACTATTTTATGAGTGTCTGTAAATTAGTCTAGAACAGACCAGTTAGTACCTTACAGCAATAATCCAAAATTGATGTTTGAAGAAGTGCTTTGTAATGCAGTCCAGTTTTTGAACTCTTGTTCTACCTTATCAGTAATTGTATACTATAAATTACCTTCTTTGTAAACAACAGTCATTCTCAAGTATATTTCTCACTGTTTTATTTCATGTAATTTTGTGGCAGATTAGGTTCTAATATTAAGAGGCAGTCAATGTGGAGGGGGGGAAGAATTCCGTGTAACCATATTTGAAGTATAATCCTTAAGTGCAACTGTAAAAAGAGAACTCTGTCTGGGGTTCCATCTATACTTACCTTTTAGTAATTCCATCTCAAATCTACTTAATTACACAATAAAATATGTTTATTTTGTTTTTTTTTCTCAGTGCTATCTTAACTAGGTCATTTTTGAACACTGAAAAGCTGACAGAATTGGATTTTAAGGGATGGAGATAGAGAGGATCATTACTTTAAGGATTCAAGCAAACAAACTTGCAGGTGGTACTGAGTTCCAGTTTCATAGCTTGGATGGCAGCCATGGGACGTCAGTTTCATCCCTTGTATTTGTGCTGATCTCAACAGGATGAAATATACTTCAAAGGGTAAAGCCCTGTTTTGTCCACTACAGTTGGCCTTTGATCACTCCAGCAGGGAGGACTGATTGGAGTCAGCTCTGTCACTCATGGATTCTTTCAGTTTCTCCTTAGTCACACTCTATGACAAGAAAGCAGAAAAAGGGAGGAGAAGAGAGAATGTTTTTCTTTTTGGGTGTATGTCATTATTGGTCTAATTTAAGAATTCATACGCCATATCTTTTTGAGATGCAAATCTTTCAAGAATGGTTGGAATAGTAAACTGCCTGAGGCAATGCTGTCTGACCCTAGCAAGAAGTGTTTTAAGCATTTGTAACTTGTAAACTTCCACCTTTGTCTTAAGGCACACTTCAGCACATTTTTTACTAGATTTAAAGTAGTTATAATAATTTACTTTGTCTTGCTTTGTATCAGTTTAAAAGCAAATAGACAAATCTTTTATTTGACCTAGTGATGCTCTGTCTTCAGTTTTAGCATTTAAGATTTTACCTCTCCTTCAATACCAGCCTTGTCCTTGCTGATATGAGTAATCTTTCACCCTGACACTTTGTATGTGCTCCTCTACTCAAAGATAGATAGTTGCAGTTTTTCTGCCTTGAGAAAATACAATTTTAAGAAGAAAAAAACCTCATGAGCTGGCCAAATGATGACAAAGTGCGGCTTAAGACTATCCATGTTAAGAGTCAAAAGACATGAAATCGTGGCTATGAAATTAATAATGAAAGAGATGTGGATCTTTGCATTTGATCCTAAATCTTGCTGAAGACAGTCAGCTTTCTTTCAAAATTTTCAGTGAGCAAGTTGTGATTTTGTCATATCTACAGCTGGCATTAATTTCTAGTGATGCCAAAAGCAACATTTCTTTGCATGTGACAGACCTTAACTGAAAAGGTCACTGAAACTCTGTTTCAGTCACCTGCCAAGGAAGGTTCTGCACTGCACAGTGGCTGAAGCCCTCCAGCAGGACAAAAGCCTATGAGCACAATGCTTCCTGCAGCTTTAGAAAGAAGCCTTTGGCAGTAGGATCCCCTTTATCAGGCAGCCTGTAGTAGATACTGACCACAGGGCTCCTTGGCTGCCTTGGTCACTGATTCTTACCTACAGGCTTTTGACTTGCTCATGGCTGTTCTTCAAACACAGCTCCTCACACGGAATCCACTTCTTGATGTAGAGGGCAATCCCTCCATCTCTCCTTCTTCCCCTGTATCTTCTGAACAGGCTGTAGCTATCAGTAGTGACACTCCAGCCATGGGATTCATCCCCCAAATTCCAGAAATGCAAAAGGCTGTAACTTTCCTGCAGCACAGTAGCTTCTGATTTATTAAAAAAATATGGATATTGATCTAGTACCTATATCTAACTGTGACGGACACAAACTCTCTAACAGTTTAAAGTTAGCAAGTGTGTGTTTATTCGACGCCGGGCAGCGTGCGGGATCGCTCCCAAATACACACCGCCCCTTCCAGGTGATTACAGAGTCCTTTTATCCATACAAGTATTGAATACACAAAATACAAATACATATTCATAATTTTGGTACATCCCATTCCCCGCTTTGTATGCTAATCACTCCAAAAGCCATTCAGCATGCGTGGTTTGTTCCTTGAAATGGGTCGGTGTCCCTGTCATGGGGAGGGGTCCCAAAATTAGGAAGTAGATGAAGTCTTCCTCCTTCTGACCTTTCTACCTTTTCAATGCAAGTATGACAAATGAACTCTTGGTAGAACTCCCATTCCTTGTCTTCAATTGGTTTCAGAACAGAGGAGGACCACAGTTGCCTTATGTTCCTAAAAGCTAATTGTCAGTTTATATTCTTCATTATAAACCCAGCTAACTAAACATTGTGCTGACAAGCAATTAATTATTAGTGAACTACTAACTCCTAACTTCATCAAGGCCTACTCATTTATTTTAATTAACTCTAGTAAGGCTTATCTCTAACTAAAATCTTAGCTCCTCTAAAATCTCTAAATTCCTTTAAAATTTACGTTTCGCTTCCAACTCCTCCTGTTTCTTGCCCATGCTGCACGTGTTGATTGAAGGCACCTCAGCCTGGCAGTCAGCCATGTCACCATCCCAGAGGAACACCCCTTTTCTTCCTTTGTGACAATTTTCTGCTGTTTCCCCTGTCAGCTTTTATTACCTTGTCCTTCCTGACAAAGCCAACCCTAGACTTGCCTTGGCCTCTCACCATTGCCTTGCATGCCCATCTCCTGCCTTGCCTTGCTTACAACTTTTGTCCCTGGCCTTGCTTAGTTTGACTACCCTTGCTTTGCCTTTTCCCCTGCCAGCCTTGCCTTTCCTTCCTGCCGCCTCCGTGTCCTTCCCTTCCTGCCGCTCTCTTGTCTTTGCCATGGACGGACTCGGTGCCTCGATTTTCCCGCCCTTTTTGCCGCCATCTTGGGAAGCTGCAGCGAGCGCCGAGCCCCCGGCGGGGCTGCAGTGCCGCTCTCTGCCCACACGGCGGCAGCACCGCCGCCCGCCACAGCCGCTCGCCTCAGTGAAATGGTACTTCTGGGTGCTGTGTGCTCCTCCGGCCTCTGCCTGCTGTGAACACTTTGTGTTGCTGCTCGGTGTAGTCCAATTCAGTGTTTGTTTGGTTTGATTTTTGTGTGTAACAAAAACACTGGTCACTTACTCTAAACAACTTCCCTCCTTTACTGGACACATCCTGGAGTGGGACCAGACTCCCCCTCACCCTGGAGGAATTCCCTGCTCCTCTGGAGAGGGGTGAAGCCAAAGCTTAGGAGCAAAGGCAAACCACCAAACCAGGGGCATTCTATATATCCAAATAAGGGGCTCTGTCTTCCTGCTTTTCCTGTAGTTCTCCTTCCTGGTTTCACCTGGCCTGGAAGGATGGGCATGGCCTGTATTTATCAAATGAAAATGGTGTTACTAAATCTGTCCAGAAGTTCTGATTACAGACACTCATTTTCTGCCAGAAAACATTTTCATTTCATTCCTTTCACCCAGGATGCTCTCTGTGGTCTCAGACAGTGTTCCCTGGGAGGAAGGGCAGCCTTTGCCTCGCCTGCACAGCTCAGGTGGGTGTGACAGAACTGGTGTGGCCTGACAAGGCATGAGCAGCTGTCTGTGCACTGGAGTGCCTTGAAACCTTTCTCTGTGAGGTTTTGGACACATTTCTCTTTGGGATTTCTTGTGACACAGCACCAGGTGTCCCTTCCTTTGTATAAAGTCCCGTGGTAAAGGATTGAATGACGGACAAGTGGGGCTGGGATAAAAATGGTTCTGTTAAAATTAGGCTAAGAATGCAGTAAGAAAAATGAGCTTCCTTTTAATGAAATAGTTAGGAATAAAAATGCAGGAAAAGGGCACTTTTATATTTGAATTGGTGTCCCCTCTCATGGATAAAACCCCATGGTGAGCAATCCCAGCAGAAGTGTGAAAGCCTGGATCCTTTGGCTTCCACAGTGGACTTAATGTTCTTTTCCTCCTCTCTTTCAGGACAGGAGAAATCATTAAATTCCTCCCATCTTTGCCAGAAGCTTCAGTGTTTAAGCAGCCAGAGCCAAGAGGCTTCAGCACCAGGGGTGTGCGCTGGAGGGCTCCTGGTCCTGCCCACGCTGTGGGGTAAGTCAGAGGGACGCAGGGTTCCCCTTTTCCTCTCTGCTGGGATTAAGTGCCTCGGGAATGCCATTTCTGACAGCCCAGCCCTACCCCTGTGTGCTGGGAAAGGGCAGGAGGGAAGAGGCAAATGCCAGAGTTCCTTGGGGCTGACGGAGTTGTGGTGTTTGGCTGTGCCCAGGGGGGCAGGCTGTGCATTGTTCGGGCACCCAAGGACTGGTCTGGGGCTGGGAGCCCGGGGAGCCGAGCTCTCGGTGCATTCCCAGCTCTGCCAGCTGCTGCAGGGCTGGGTGCCAGCCTCTGCTGGGGCTGGGGCAGGAACTGCAGGGCAGGGCTGGCAGGATTTGGGAGCAGAGGGAGGAAAATGAGGAACGGTGCTGGGCAGCGCTCAGCCTGTGCTGGTGTCAGCGCAGCTGTGCAGGGCGCCGGGATCTGGGTTCAGCTCCGGCTCTCCTGGGGTTCAGGGTGCAAGGTCGGAGGGACTGGGTTTATCTGTGGCTTTCCAGGCCAGCAGGAACAAGGGGAATGTGGTGCCAGAGCTGTGTCCCATCGGGCTGCGCTTCCCTCTGAGCACAGAGAGTCTGGGCTGAGGGGAGATTGCTGCGAGTGCCCCGTGAGCAATCCAGGGAACTCGGAATTGCATCGCTGCTGGGAACACTGCCTGAGCTCTGCTCAGGCTGTGTCTGCGAGGAGTGGGATTTGGGCTGCAGAGGTGCTGCTGGGCACAGAAAATGGAGTAAATCCTCTCCAGGGACGTGCAGTGAAGGACAGTGCAGCAGGGAAGGGGAGTATTTACAAACTATATCAGTATTTCTCCCAAAACTGGGAGAAATGGGGTGGAGCAGAGATGGGGGTGGTTTGCTTTTGTCTGGGCCGGTTATTCCTTGTGCACTGTTTTAAATCTGTAGTATGATTTTCTCTCCAGTATCTTTCTAACAAAAGCTGACAGAAATTTA